GGCTCGCCGGAGCCCAGCAGGTGGGGGCTGCAGTGGCTGGAAGTGGCCACTGCACTCCAGTCTGGGCTACAGAGTGAGACTCCAACTCAAAATAAATATATAAATAAATAAATAATTAAATAAATAAATTTTTTGTAGAGCCAAGTTCTCACTGTGTTTCTCAGGCTGGTGTCGAACTCCTGGACTTGAGCAATCCTCCCACCTCAGCCTCCCAAAGTGCTGGGATTACAGGCATGAGCCACAATGCTCAGCAAGATTTTCTTATCTGTGGCATCGTAATGTGGTGATCGAGGAGAGGAGGTGCCCCAGAGTCCCCACAGACATGATGAACACCAGTTGTATGTTGCGTTTTCTTAACCAAAATAGCTATCCCATTTTTTATTCTAAAAAAACTCTTCAAATAGTTGAAGGTAAAAAATACTGCAGATGAAAGATATATAGACTACAAATTAAAGAAGTAAGTTACCACCAACATTTTAGTACCTTTACAAACAGTCCCCTGGCCTGGCCAAAACTCCTTCTCTAGGTATTTCATCCAGCCTGGTAGATGACTTCTTTCTACTCCTCCACAATTTTTATCTCCAATATGCTTTCCTTGTAGACCCAGGTCCCTTCCTGGGGCACATCCCTTCCTCAGTCCTGTTATTCAAAGGGGCAGGAGGTAGGGTTGGCCTTTTTCCTACTCGACACTTGCAAGCTTCCCTCTTCGGAATTTAAGGTCAGCTCCTCACATCTTTCCCCAGGAAAACACCTACTTTCCTCTATGTTTTCAGTCCCTAATCGCAATCTCCTATTTCTCTCCACTGTTTTCAGAGACCAGGACCACCGAGCATAACTGTGCAGGCTGTTCACTGCACAAGAGCATCTGGCTGGTGGGCATATTCAGCTTGCCACTAGGTGGGCTCTAGTGAGAGGTCGACTCCGCCTGAGGAAGGGCTGCCTTTTCTCATCTACACAAAGGCACCGAATGGGCCCCATTGATGCTAGCAGCTTCGGGGTTAGCCAGATGGTGGGCAAGAGTCCAGATTCTCAAGTGAAAGAGCTGCCTTGATACATTCCAGCAGGGACAGAAGCGCTGTGGAGAGGAGTGCAATTAGCAGAGTATCAGGAGGGAGGCAATTAGCGGCGCCCCAGGGATCTGAGAGAAGGCTGGTTTCCAGGCTCTGCTGACGGTTTGCGCCAGGAAGCCTGCCAGAGGAGATCCTCTCTCACCTTCCCAGGCGCTGCATCCCCTTGGAGGAGGGCTGGGCCAGGTGGGCACCAGCCTGGATTATGGCACAGCTGGGACTGCTCCTGGACTTCTCAGAAGGGCTTTGAGGTCTGTCCTTCACCACCGAGGTCACGATACCAAGTACTGGGGGGCAAAACTGGCTCTCCTCAGGGAGACCATCGGCCCCCCCTCCCACCCCCACTTTATAAAGAGGGAAACTGGGCTCCAGGGAGGGAAAGTCTGCCTGGAGGGAGAGATGCCTGGGTTTTTCACTCACCCTCCGAATACTTATCTAGGTCCTGCTCTCATAAGCCCACCCTATCCTGGATCTGCTCCTCCCTCATTCTTCCACACCCAGTCCTGACTCATGAGTCCTCCCCATCCCAGACCTGCTCCTCCCTTATACCTCCCCATCCAGTCCTGATCCTCATGAGTCCTCCCCATCAAGGATCTGTTCTCCCCTCAATCCTCCATACACAGTCCTGATCCTCATGAATCCTCCCCATCCAGACCTGATCCTCCCTCAATCTTCCCCACCCAATTCTTATCCTCACTAGTCCTCCCCATGCCAGACCTGCTCTTCCCTTGGTCCTCTCCACCCAGTCCTGATCCTCACTAGTCCTCCCCATGCCAGACTTGCTCTTCCCTTGGTCCTCTCCACCCAGTCCTGATTCTCCTTCACTCTTCCCCACCCAGTCCAGTTTCTTCTCTCCCATAGGCTTATTAAACCTAGACCTGGGTAGGGGGCAGAAGGGCATGCTTGATCCTCTCTCTCCCAAACCCACCCCTGTACCCTCCATAAACACATCTCCCACTTCTCTCCTTCATGCTCTACCTGAATTCTGACCATCATTATTTCTCACCTGCCTTGTGATTGTGGTTTCCCATTTATACCCCTAGAAGTCTTCCTTCTCACAGAAACCAGTTATCTGTTAAAAATCTAAATTGAGCTGGGTGTGGTAGTACGCGCCTGTAATTCCAGCTACTTGGAAGGCTGAGGTGGAAGGATCGCTGGAGCCCTGCAGGTCAAGACTGCGGTGGCCGGGAGTGTGCCACTGCACTCCAGTCTGGGCGACAGAGTGAGACTCCAACTCAAAAAAAAAAAAATCTAAATTGGACCATGTCAGTCCCCTGCTTAGAGCACCCTCCACCCCACCCATGGCTTCTCTCTGTACTTAGGAAAAACCCAAATCTTCACCTCAGTCCTCAAGGCCACCACACAGTCTGGTTCCTGCCTGGCTATCTCTTCCTTCCTTCCCTCCCCTGGGCTCTTTCTGCCCCAGCCACAATGGCCTCCATGGAGCTTCCTTGGATGCCTATACCATAGGCTGCAGATTCTCTCTCTCAATTACCCCCAGTCTGGGATCTTTGCCCATGGCTCCTTGTCACCCCCAGGTCTTCAGATGGTAGCTGAATGTCACCTCCTCAAGAGGCTGTTCGTGAACACCTGCCTTAGGTCACTCCCCTCCCTCCATCTTCTCTCGCCCAGCACTTCATATTATTAATGATGTATTTGTTTGTTATCTTACTAAATATATCTCCAACTAGAAGTTAGCTCCAAGAGAGTAACCCCCCCCAGGGGGGGCTGTTTCACCCCCCACCCCGTGTTTGTCCAGTCAGTGACTGGCATGCTAGTGGGTGCTGCATTTACTGCACAAAAGAATGACTGGATATATGTTAAGCCTCGTGAATGGTTCCAGAGCAAGAAAGCCGGCTTCCTAAAGGGGCTCCCCCTTTTCTGCCTTATATGTGAACATTCATTTAAGCAGATCATGAAAAGGTGTGTAAGCAAAGCTGGGTGGCAGTTTACAGAGCCCGAGAGGTCATCTGCCCCAGGCAGCAAAAGACTGAATCATGACCAGCTCAAAATACAGGAACACGGGAGCCATAATTTAATCAAGTACTTGTCAGTCAATCAGTTATCAATTGTTGAGCAAATATTTAGTAAGCCTTTCCCACATGCTTATCTTTATATGAAGAGCTAATCAGATCTCAGGAATCCTTCAAAGACCCAGCGCCATTGTCTCCTCTGCCAGGGAGCACCCTGGATTGCTCTGGCCCCGTTGTCCACTTTTCCTTCCCTTCCTACTTCCTTGAGAGGTGAATCCCCACTCTAGCCAGCCCCACTCACCTCACCCCAGCTCCCTCCCTTCAACCCAAGAGCTCTTACCTTGAATGGAGGTGAAGAGCTTGAAGATGGGAGGGCAGGCCAAGACAACCACCTGACCCTGCGGGGTGGCTGGCCAGCAGGTGAGGTTGTCCCACATCTTGCTGCAGCCTGTGGGGTGAAGGCAGAGGACACACGGGTCAGCATAATCGCCAGGTACCCTCAGCCCTGGGGCCTGAGCCCATAGGTACCCACTTTTTTCTTCCTCCCGCCAGGAGCCTCCAGTCTGAAATGGGAGGTGCAGCCTGGGAGAAGGAGGCATGACTACAGCTCCTTGGTCCTCAGTGAGGGATGGAGCCTCCCCTGAGGGTGATTTGAACACTGGTGAGGGTTTGTTTGTTGCAACAACTAGGGGTCCTCACTTGGCATTTGGTGGGCAGGCACCATGTATGCCAGACAGGCAGCCTGCATGGTCCTGTACAATGATGAATAAATGGTCTCGTGTCCTGCATGACTTTCAGATGAGCCACTGGGCATTTGGGTAGGTGACAACCTTTTGTAATGACCAGAGCCTAGACTTTTACTCCATTTTACCTGGAAACACAAGATATATTTATTGCTCAGGCCTAACACACATGGAGTTTTCCAGGAATGCAAGACAGAAGGCTACTTTGTTTTGTTCTGAAATTTACTAAGAGTTGTTTGATATCTTGGAAAATCACGTTACCTATAGCAATGCTGCTTGTGATATCTGAGTCACTGATACGACCACCAGCACATATTAATCTGCATTTATAGGTTTCACATTCCTAGAATTTATATTTATAGGTACAACCTTCCGACTGCATCTTCTTTGAGTGAGATCGTCCCTGAACATGTCCATGGTATTTTATCAAAAATTACTTTCCTTTTAATAGTTCCGTCACATTACAACCAGAACATAATTTTTAATAAAATGAATGTGTGAATTTCATGTTATGGTAGTTAAGGAGGCATTAGAAGAAGTTTGTTATAAAAAGATATTGGGTATGATGAGGTAATACTGGGGTATGATGAGAGAATATTAGGGTACAGCTAGTTCTTGAGCAACACAGATGTCCCCAACTCAGTCAAGTTGTGAATTGTGATGGGGAGTTGTCTGGGAGTGAGTTCAGAGAAAACTCTGCATCGCAGGCTGTGCCCTCTATCATGTAGCTGTCAGCCCTGCAGAGCCTGGTCAGTGAAGGGTGCACACTGGGGTCTCCAGGGGTCTGCTTTAATAGGCAGCAGCAAATGCCATGGTTTTGCCTGTGCAGGAGGTGGGTGCCCCTAAGGAACCAGCACTACTCTGGACCCCCTCCATGAGGAAGGCTTAATTGTCTCTTTGCAATCCTGCCAGTCCCATAGATTTGCTCAGGTAATTCAACCCTTGAGCCAAAGTCAACGCCGGCTGGGCCAAGCCCAGCCCAACCCAGCCCAGGTCCGAAGGTTCCCAAGTTCCCAAGAAGGGGGCCTGGGAAGAGGAGGTGGAGGATGTCCCTACTTGGGGAAGAGACTCAGAACTCTAGAGTAGGTTGGCAGTGGGGAGGGTCACAGCAGTCAGGTGGCACCTACAGCCAGAGGCTGAGGAGGATACCTGGGTCCCCAGGGCTTGACCGGAGAGTACAGTCTTCCTCCCTCGTGGACTCTGACACTTTTGCCCCAACCTGTCCTGAGGGGTCCTGTGGCCTCACTCTGGCTGCCAGTTCCTCTTCCATTCTGGGCTAGCGTCTCCCAGAGGCCATGATGTAGGGGTGTTTCAGGCTAGTCAAATACTCCTGTGGTTCAAGACCCTGTTAATATCAGCAAACACTTACATAGCCTTTGCATGTGCCAGGCACTGTTCTCACTTCTTTAAGTAATAACTTATTTAACCCACCTCCTTTATATATATATTTAACCCTTTCCTTTCACAGATGAGGAAACTGAGGCACAGAGTGATTAGGCAACGAGCCCAAGGTCACATTGCTGCTGAGTGGTATAGTCTATTTACATACTCTGTCTCCTCCTGATTGGAAGGGCTCAGTGTCATTTCTCTGGGAATTTTGCTGCTGCTGGACTTTGTTTACCCCTCTCTGACAGTGCTGGGCACACCCTGTTTTGTAGGCTGGCTATTGTGGTCTGGGTCCCTGCCAGACTTTGGGCTCTCTGAATCTCTAGCTGCCAGCACAGGCTGGAGTGGATTCTGGGCTGGGTCTCTGGCCATGTGCTCTGCTTTACCAGGGGTGGGAAAGAAGAGAAGGAGACTGGGGGCCCTTGGAGAGGGCACACTAGGCCTCAAGGAATCTCAGTACAACAAAGGCTGGCCACGAACTGGTGCTGGGCCGCAGGTCAGCAAGCAGGGCAAGGGAGCAGGGAAGAGAGGCCAATACAGGGATGTGATCAGGGAAGTTTCCTGTGGGAGACAGGACACGGCTGGACTGCTGAAGTAGCAGGGTTGGGGAAGGAGCAGAGGGGGTAACAGCCATAAAAACACTTGGTGCCTGGAATAGCCTGTTGTCCTGGGCTAGGCAGAGGATTATTCCCTGTATACCCACTCCAGGGAAGCCCCACAGGCCCCATCAAATGTGTTTCTAGCCCCACAGAGACACAGGGCCCCGGCTGGCTGTGTGTGCCTACCGGGGCTGTAGCCCCAGCTAGAAAGTCCGACTGGAAGTGTGGGGTGAGGGATGGTAAGGCAGGGTGGGGTGGGGCCTCTGCTGTGTTATCTTATAGCCTTGAGTGCAAACACAGACACACACATGGACATGTACTCCTAGGAACATGGAACCCCAGGCAACATGCAAACGTACACACATGTACACTTACCTGGACATGGAAAGACCACAGACACAGGAAAATTGGGAGAAAGAGATACAACTCACAGAGACAAATGCCTGGTGTACTATCAACATTCACGTTGATAGAAACCCTCACAACTAACACGCAGAGACACAGCATATCAGGAAGACATGTCTAGGCATGTCCAGGGATGAGGTGTGTCCAGTCTTAAATAGATACACACTCCCAACTCACAAAGACATTAAGAGTCAGACACAGAACTACAAACTCCAGAGGCACAGACATAGCCCAGACAGACATGAGCCAGGATGTAACCTGGGTATGAACAAACACACACAGAATCCCACACAGGGTTGTGGACAGACCCACAGCCCACCACCCATGCCCGCCCTCCTCTGGATTCCAGGCTGCTGGTGACAGGGTATTGGCACCCGACAGGTACGCTGTGCCAGCAATGACCTCATAGGAATCATGAGGGCGGCCCGCCTGGGGCCTGGGAGGTGCTGCAGCGGGGCTTAGAGTCTGGGGTCTGGGCCTTCTGCCACTGGGGCCTGCTGAAGCCTGTCTACAGCCTGGTCCTGCCTCTCTGCCCTAGCAGGATGGGGTGGGTGTATAGGTAGTGGGTAGGTCCAGCTACCCTTTAACCCAGACCTCAGTCTCTGGGCCCCAGGAGAGAGGGGGTTGTCTTGCTGTGAGACCTGGAGGAGGGAAAGCCTGCGTGTGAGGCTACACACATTCACTTGTCATGCAAGAGGCAGTAGGCCTGGGCACCAGGGCCAAGAAGAGGAACCTGGGAGTGTTACCTAATCGTCAGTCTCAGAGAGGTGGTGAGGGAGCTGGGGAGCCGGGAAGCCATAGAGATGCTCCCTGCTTCTGAGCAAGGCTGTTACATAACTAAACTCAACCTCGGGGAGGTGGCCTAGATGGGGGCCCAGAGGAACCACAGCCTCCCCACTGCCTCCCCTTCAGTGAGAGTTGAACCTGACATCCTCCCCCTACTCTCCATCAGCAGTCTGTCTTGGTGCCTCTGACCATCCTATTCTCTTGGTTTCTCCAAACCTGCCCAAGTCAGGCTTGAGTGGCACCTTTCCATGGAATTCCTCCAATTCCCACCCCGGCCTGCTGAGCCAAGTGGAGGGTGCTGTCATCTGTCCTGATGGCCCTGCCGTCAGGTCTGGGTAGCGGGGCACTACCCTTCACACTGCCAGGTGGAGCTCTCCTAGACCCCCTGCAGAGGAGTAACTGGGTCCTCACGTGCTCAGCCTCTGTGGCTGAACTAGACTTTTTAAGTATCAGATAATGAGTCAGTGGTTTATCTGGTCACTAAGGGTGGGTTGGGATGAAAGACCAGTGTGTATGCTGATGTATGCCTAGGGACGTGCACGTGTGTATGTGCATGCGTGTGGAGATGATCAGTCCTCTGAGTGCTGAGGTGGCAGTGCCTGGGGTTGGGATGAAGGAGCTGGGCCTCAGTCCTCCCTGCACCCCATGGTGAGTGTTTCAGACCTGTCCAGACTATCCTGGTGCCCTTTCTTGCTCTGGACTGCCAAGACGGCTTTGAGCTTCCATGTGGTCCCTATGGGGGTCACATCCTATGAGCCAATAGCTCCTGCTCTTCCTCTGAGATGCTAACACAGTACAACCGTCTAATCCCAGAGTATGGTTCTGGGACCAATCCTCCCCATCCCAGTTCTAAGTCAGGGAATCAGGAGGGCGCTTCCCTAGCCTTTCTTTGGGCTGGGTGGGTGGTCCTGAAACCTGTCTACCTTCATGGTCCACAGGCCCCCTCCACCATGCAGCACCTAGATCCCAGCCTGGGTGGCTGGCAGCCATGAACATCATCTTCATTATTCCTAGACAAGAGGGATAGGGACCCTTCAAGGTGGAGGTGGCTCTGCAAACTTTTCGGAACCCTCATTTGGTATGTCCTCCTCAGCTGATGGCTGGGAGCTCCCCAGGCCTGGGTTGGAGTGACGGGGACATGGAGGCCTGTTAGCCCCCTCCTTCCTCCACCTGACTTCCCCAGCTTCTCCTCACCACCCAGCAGCTCTGTGGTGCAATCCCTGCCTCAGGATCCCCATTCAACAAATGTGGAATGAATGTGACCTGGATGGATGTGGGCTCATGATGTGAGGAAACACGGGGCTCCATGGGGGTGCACAGACCCTGACCTCCCACGGGGACCTCACCTGCTGTCTCATTCTCCAGCTGGGCCTCCTCCAGGCACTGCTTGCGGTGCACCTCAATCATCCGCAGATAGTCACACTCCTGCTGCAGCCTGGTTGCCTGGCCGCCCTGGGGGACAGAGACAGGGAGGGGCCTGTCAGCCTGGTCCACACAATCAAGAGCATGGGCCCATGCAGGGGCCTGGAATATAAGTTCCAGGCTAACCTCTCAACCCTCACCCCAAGCTAAAACCTTGGCCTGTAACTTGGGGTTTTACGTTTAGGTCTTTGATCCATTTTGAGTTGATTTTTATATATGGAAACACCCTTATGTACATCCAGCAATGAACTCTGAACCACCTGGCTTGACCGAAAGCGAATGCTGGAAAGGCTAAGAAAGACAAGTGGGACCTCATCAAAGGAAGTCATCAAGAAGTCATCTGCACAGCAAAAGAAGTCATCAAGAGAGTAGAGAGGCAACCTACAGAATGAGAAAAGAATATTTACAAATTATGTATCTGACAAATGCCTCATATCCAGGATCTACAGGGAACTCAAATGAAGTGAAAGAAAAAAACAAATAACCCTATTAAAAAGTGGTCAAAGGACATGAATAGACACTTTTCAAAAGAAGACGTACAAGCAGCTAACAAACACTTGAAAAAAATGCTCAGTCTCACTAATCATCAGAGAAATGCAAATCAAAACTATAACAAGATACCACCTAACACCAGTAAGGATGGCCATCACTGATAATTCAAAAATCAACAGCTGCTGACTCTGGTGCAGAGAAATGATTCTACACTACTAGAGGGAGTGCAAGCTAGTTCAACCTCTATGAAAAACAGTGTGGCGATTCCTAAAAGAACTAAAAATTGACCTGCCATAGGATCCAGCAATCCCTCTCCTAGGATTATGCCAGGAGGAACATAAACTATTCTACAAAAAAGACATCTGCACATGCATATCTATTGCCACTGTATTCACAATAACAAAAAAATAGAACCAACCCTACTGTCCATCAAAAGTGGATTAGATAAGGAAAATGTGATACATAAACACAATAGAGTATCACACAGCCATGAAGAAGAACAAAATCATGGATTTCACAGCAAATTGGATAGAGCTGAAGACCATCATAATAAGCGATCTATCACAGAAACAAAGACCTGAATACCACATGTTCTTACTCATAAGTGGGACCTGAACAATAGTCACATTAGCACAAGGGAGAGACCGGCAGCACAAGGAGGGAGGAAGGTGAGGGGCACATGACAACACAAAGGGTACCTGGTCCACTACCAGGGAGTGAGGGCCAGTTAGAAGCCTAAACTTCAACTGCATGCAGCCTACTTATGTACTTAATCCTCACTTGTACCCATCTCTATAATAAAAATAAATAGACAATATACTTAAGAAGAAATACAGATTTAAAAACAAAACAAAACAACTTGGGCCTGGCCTGGACCTAACCCCAAACTGTTGTCCATTGTCCCCAGACCTGGGTCTGCCTTGAGGATCCTGTCATGGCTTCTTGGTGGTTCACCCAACAATGCTGCTACCGTAACAACTTTGTCTCTTTGTGGGTGGCATGACTCCAGATGGGGGCAAGAGGACCTCTCCTTAGAGTCTTGAGCTGGCCCTCTGGACACTGCCACTCTCCAGTACTCTGTCCCTGTCTCAGTCTCCCTGGATGGGTGGAGCCAACTAGTGATACTTTGTTATGGGGAGTTGGATTCTGGCCTGTGGTTCCTGATGCCAGGCCTGGGAGGAATCCAGAAGTCTAGATGCATTTTCCAGTTGTTATCTCCATTCCAGGAGCCTGTGCTCAGTCCCCTGAGCCACCAGGCTGGGGAGGGGACTCTGGTCCTCCTTGCCCAGCTTTCCCCTGCCTCCTTCTTATCTTCTTAATAATTCAAACTATACCAGATCTAAATGAGTCAGAGTTTTCAGGAAGTAAAAGGGCCCCTCTAGGATCCGCCAGGTCTCCCCTGCCTCTGGAAGGTGGAGAAGGAATGGAAAAGCCCAGGCTTCTCCCTTCTCCTCCCCAGTGCCCTGGCCAAGGACAAGGGGTGGGGACATAGTCTGATGGGGACGTTGGTCTTGGGGAAGACATGTGAGTGGGGGTGATGGCTGTCCAGGATCAGTCAGAAAAAAATCAGGTCTTGGGAGCTCTTGTGTTGGGGAGGGTGGGTGAAGGCTTCCATGGGGGAACCATTGGGCTGGCAGTAGCTTCCATTTCTTTGGCTTTAGGATAAAGTGGCTGCTGGTCTTGGCAACCCCACATGTTTCCTCATCTGTGCCTGGAGTGGAAAACGTCACAGTCCCCACCAGGACCATAGGAGAGGGTCCAGCAAGACCCATCAACTCGTCCCTCCCACCCTAAGACAAAGTCCTTACCTCCCCGGGCCTCCATTTCTCTGTAAGCTAAATGAGCCTCAACCACTTCCCCTGCTGACTTAAAGGTTTCTTGAAGTGGGTCTGTGGGAAGAGTATAGGTGGGGGCTTCCCCTCATTTCTTTCCTTTAAGAGGGTCCCGCCCATCCTGCAGCACCAAAGTGCTTAGCACTTTGACCATTGTTCTAAATAAGTCAACTGCATCAAGGGATATATATCCCAGGAGGCAGTGAGCGCTCCATCACTGTGGAGGCAGAGCGGTCCATGTCGAGGCTGGACAACTCTGTATATGAAACACCACACAGCTGAGTCCCTTCTGCCTCAACAGCTCTCTCACTCCTCCTCTCTCAGTGAGGCTTTGGTGGAGCCTCATTGTCTCACAGGCCACCTGCAGCACAGCTTTCCCAGATGCAGCCAGCACCATGGCTTACCTAGCCTAGGTCCAAGGGCAGGTCTCCCTGTCCAGGACTCCACTCAAACTTTCCTAGCATCCAGACCCCACCTACCCATGTGCCATTGACCTGGAAGCCACATAGCAAGCATGGGTTCCACTGGATCTTTAACTTTACCAGCCAACTGGGGTAAAGGCATTAGCTGGGAAGTAATTTAAAACTTGGCATATTGATATTATTATTATTATTATTTGAGTTGAGGTCTTACTCTGTTGCTCAGGCTGTAGTGCAGTGGTATGGTCACGGATTACCACAGCCTCAACCTCCTGGGCTCAGTCAATCCTTCTGCCTTGGTCTCCTGAGTAGCTGGAACTACAGGTCTGTGTCACCATGCCCAGCTATTTTTAATTTTTCTTATAGAGACAAGGTTTTGCTATTTTGCCCATGCTGGTCTCAAACTCCTGGGCTCAAGCAATCCTCCCACCTCAGCCTCCGTGCCCAGTCAATAAACTTGGCATATTGGAACTAACACAGGTCTATTATGGAGCAGAATGAAGTCACTCATATAATAACTGTTAAAAGAGAAGATATGAAACTTCAAGGAAACTTTGTCCCTGTGATTCCTCTTTGGGGTCATGTGCTTCCCCTCTTTCCATTAGAGTTATTTAGGCTGAAATGCTCAAGATACTCAACATTCTTTCTCAAGGGATCTGTGGCTGGCTCATCCTCCAAGTATAAGGGAAGGGTGGCCAGGTGGATCCCAGAGGTGGTCAGGTGGATCCCAGAGGGAAGGGTGGCCAGGTGGATCCCAGAGGGAAGGGTGGCCAGGTGGATCCCAGAGGGAAGGGTGGCCAGGTGGATCCCAGAGGGAAGGGTGGCCAGGTGGATCCCAGAGGGAAGGGTGGCCAGGTGGATCCCAGGGACTAGCCACCTCAGCTTATGTCACACTATTGATCTTCTTGTTTGTCTTGGAGCACGCTTTTCCTCAAGGTACCTGCCCAACCCAGTGGTCCACCAGCAACAGGATTCTTTCTACTTTCTGGCCCCTCCCAGGCTGTCTTGACTCTCCTATCAGTTCTCAACTCCCATCATGCTGCAGGATAGATGGTAGCAGCCATCTACTGTTTCTGCCCTCCACCAGCCTTTACTCTCCTTTGGTGCCACGTCTTCATCTCTGTCTGGGAAGCCACCTCCTTCCCCACTCCTAGTTTATGTGGTTCTGACAAACCCTCTTCCAGGGAATTGACATGTGACTTCGACTTAGATCAATCAGAGTATTCCTGGCCACAGTGCTTGGCACATGGCCCAAGCCAGGCTATGCATAATCAGGAAGCTTGCTCCTGGGACTTTGAATTAAGTCATTAGGCAAGTGAATTTGCTTTTTCCCACTGGACTAAAAATCCCAAAGGATGCAGGGGCTGGAGCTTCTGCTGACTTCTTATTGACAAGTGGAACACAATGGTGAAGACCACACAACTGAAGGCAGAATAGAGAGATGGAAAAAAGTCAGGTCCTCTTAGCATTGTCTGAGCCCCCAAATGCAGCCATGCCTGAAACAAGCCCCGTTGCAAGCAAAATGAACCAATACCTTTCTTTAGGCTTCAGTCAGTTGTGTTTTCTGTCCCTGTAACCAAAAGTATTCAGTTTTGTGGTCTGAGGACAGGGCAATGGATACCTTCACTTCCTGGGCTCCCTTAAACCAGGCTGTGTAGTTTGCCAAGAGATATTTCTTTTCTAATCACCATTGGCCTCTAGGGTTTCTGGCAGCTTCTGCTTGCCATTCTTTGAGGGTACAAGAGTATTGGATCAACTTCTCTAGCCAATTCTGCTCCTCCAGCAGCACAACCACAGAGCCTTCCTGAGAGGCAGCTGAGAGAGAAGGGAGGACTGGGTACAGCAGTCCCCAGGGTAACCCAGGAAACTGTGGTGTCTCTGAATAAATTAAGAGTGATCTGGAAGGTGAGCTGTATCTTTGCCATAGTTTAGCTAAGTTCTGGGCTCCATGTGGAGGAGGGTAGGGGAAATGGAGACCCAACAAAGGACCTCAGGTCACCCAGCAAATGCACATTCCCAGATGCGACCTAAGTCTCAGACCTAAGTCCTCTGGTCTGGACTACATCAATCCTTGTCCACAGCCTAGCCTTGGGGCATCTGGTCAACCATTGCCCTTTGAGGGCCAGAGCCAGGGCAGCTCCCTCTAGCCCTTATCACTGAGGAATTCAGGCAGACTTTGGACTTCCTCTCCTACTTATTTCCCTACTCTAAACATCCTCATTATCCCTCTGGATTCCGTGTGCACAAAGAGAGTTGGAAAATTCCCTGACAGATTATAGCCAAGTCT